TTCATCCTCTCTTCATGTGCATAGGGTTTCTGGAGGCAAGCTATTACCGAAGTGGATGCCACTCCTCCTTCCAAGCTTATTTGAATCGGGGAGCTCCACCCCACTCTCTGTCCACATTGGGTCACCAACCATTAACACATTTGACACATCCGTGTCAGAGTGTTCAGTCTCACAGCAACCATAAGTTACTGCTGTACGGCAAATGGACACACCAGGGCTATACGACCTAGAGGAATGACTGAACAAAAACAGTGAAAGACAGGCCCCAGGGCCACAGATTAAAAGTCACCCACTTTTGGCTTGGTAGCATAGCTTTCTGTCCACTGGGCCAGCTGATCTCTCTCTAACTTGATGTTATTGTTGTTAAGTGCTGTCGAGTCATAGGCAACTCATAGTGACCCTATGAAGGAAAGTCCTCAACGCTTGAACAACAATAGAAACGAACTATAAAGTGGGATAAGGTAACAGTCGTATCACATTGAAGACAAGAGACCAAGAGTCAGCCAGGTGGTAACAAGCAAGTGGCAGGATTCGAACGAAGTCTTTTGGACAGAAAATGGATGCTTCCTGTTGTTTACTGATGATGTGTACTGTTCGGTCAGGACTGACTCCTAGCCAGCCCTCCCACTGGGCTTTCAGAGGTAGTAAATCGCACAGGAGGAGACTGCCCATCCGTCTCCCATGGAGCAGCTGGTGGACGCAAACCGTGTGCCTTCGGGACGGCAGTGCAGCTCCTTCCCATTAACTCATCAGCCAGAAGAAGAACTGGTGTTGGACAGTGGTGTTGGAGAAGAGTGCTGAATATCCCACAGACTTCCAACACACCAATCAGATACGTTTGAGAAAGAGCCGCCAGAGTGCTCCCTGGACGTCAGGCTGGAGAAGCGTCATCTCTCATACTTTGGACCTGTCACTAGGAAAGGCTGTTGGTTGCCAAGGGACATCAATCATGCTTGGAAAGACGGAGGGTCACTGAAAGACAGGAAGACCCTCAATGAGATGGACTGACACAGTGACTGCAGCAATGAGATCACACGTATCAGTGATGACGGGCACTGCACAGGATAGGCCAGGGTTCAGTACTCCACTCGATGGTACCAACTACAGCAACAGGCCACCAGGAGATATTCTCCTTTTGTTACAAGAAAAAGGGTCATGAAGTGTTCCAGAGAGATGGAAATGGTTTGCGTATGACATATAAGACAGGACTTGTGGAAGCTCTAGGTGGATTTCAGTTCACAGTTAGGCACCTTGATGCCCGTCAGATTGTGGTGAAGTACCCCCCCCCGGGAAAGTAACTGAACCAGGGTGTCTTAGTTTGGGGGGGGCGGCTGAGTTTCTGCTTATGGTGGAAGAACATGACAATGGGTAGTGTTGAGATGGTGCTCTGTGATGACAAAACCACTGTGATTCTAATCTATAACCAGGAGAGGATAAAAGAGATGAATGGGACCTTCTAAGAATCAAATCCTTATCACATCCAAACACTTCTCCAACAGGGTAAAAAGGGAAGCCACAGATTGGGAAGTAATATTTGGCAAAAACATGTCAGACAAGGGACTTATAACTAGAATTTATAAAATACTCGAGCATTACAAGATATAGGTAAATAACCCATTGAAAAATGGACACAGGATATAAACAGACACTTCACTAAAGAAGACATTCAGATGGCCAACAAGCACATGAAGAAATGTTCAAAATTTCTAGTTCTAAGAGAGATGTAAATCAAAACAACTACAAGATATCATCTCACCACAGTAAGAACAGCAAAATTTAACAGAACAGCAAGCAACAAATGCTGGGGAGGTTGTGGAGAAACTGGAACCCTTATTCACTGTTGGTGGGAGTGTAAAATGGTGCAACCACTATCGAAGGCTGTATGGCACTTTCTCAAAAAGTTGCAAATAGAAATACCATTTAAACCAGCAATTCCACTACTGGGAATTTACCCTAAAGAAACCATAACCACTACCCAAGCAAATATATGCACACCCATGTTTATTGCAGCTTTGTTCTCAATAGCAAAGAGCTGGAAACAACCCAAGTACCCATCAATAAACGAATGTATAGAGAAGATGTGGTATATTCACACAATGGAATACTATGAAGCATTGAAAAACAAGGAACTCATG